GGAAAAGGGAAGCAGGAACAGCAGCTGCCTGACCTTTTGGACTGGAGAGGCTGCAAAAAGCTTATCAGGACTGAGGGCACTGACACCACCCCCGGCCACGGCGGCTCCAAGGGGGTCCTGCTTGTTTTTAGTAACACCTGAAGGAAGTGGGAATAATCCCAACCAACTGATCTGGCARTCAGAGCAATCCTCTTTCAGGCAGATTACACCCAAAGCCAGGGGAGCCCCCACCTGTCGGGCGGCCACGTGGGCACAAAGGGCGCCCCAGGAGGCAGAGCAGCAGGCAGGAGCGTGCCTGGGTGAATGCCCAGGGGAAAAACTGCATGGACACCCCCTGGGAGGCAACAGGGACAAAAGGAAAGCCAAAAGAGATCAAGGATGGCTTGGGAGAATGGCATGAGGGGGAGGTTTTAGGAAAAGATTCCTTCCCCAGAGGGTGGTGGGGCAGTGAACAGGAAACGGGCATGGCCCCAAAGCTCCCACAGCTCCAGGAGTGTTTGGACACTGCTCTCAGGGACAGGGTGGGATTGTTGTGGTGTCTGTGCAGGTCCAGGAGCTGGGCTGGATGATCCCTGCGGGTCCTTTCCAACTCAGGATATTCCACGATCCATCCCCCACACACCTGACGTCCTTGCCGACCGTCATGGAGGCAATCACCTTCTTCACAGCCTCCTTCTTCTTCTCCTTCTTGTCGCTGTTCAGCTCAGCCTTCAGCTCAAATATCTCCCCTGGAGAAACGGGAAAAGTGAGAGCTCAGGGATCAGAGGAAGGGGCACCCCACCCCTCTGCTGGGTGGGCACAGCTCCCACCCCTCTGCTGGGTGGGCACAGCTCCCACCTCTCTGCTGGGTGGGCACAGCTCCCACCTCCCTGCTGGGTGCCAGGATTCTCTGTCACCCCCAAAAGGAGGGATTTAACTCCTCCAACACCTCACCGAGGGCTGGGGCTGCTCCAGGGGCTCAGTTCTCATCCATGGAAATGGAAACAATGCCAGAGCATCCCTGCAGCTCCTCCAGCTGCAGGAGCCCCCACGGGCACATTATGGGAGTACCCAGTGGGGATTTTTGGCTGTGGTTACCCCAGCCCAAGGAGGCTCTACCMTTCCCAGGCACGATGGATTTTGGGCACTGCTCCTCGAGCCCAAACAAGGGAGGGTGCCTCCCAAATCCCCCCATGCCTGTGGCAGCAATCCCCCAGCCCAGGGCACCATCTCCTGCCCTCCTGAAGCCACGCTGAGCTCCTTATGCCCTGCTGGGCCAGCAGATTGGAAAGGAAGATGCCACATGGCTTCTCCTCACATTAATTCCTTGCTCTGGAAAGTGCTTAAGGCCCCGAGCACTGCCCAGGGAAGCTCCTGAGCCGCTAAAGCCGATCACCAGCTGCCACCAGCCCTGGCCAGGCTCAGGGGGCTTGGGGACAAGGTGTCCTGACCCCACAGCAGCCCAGGAGCGAGGAGCAGGGTGGGGTGCCAGCCACAACATCCCATGGGGGCTCAGGGCATTCCCAGCCCTCCCTGCCTGGCTGATGCAGCTGTAAGAAGCAGCTGGTGGTTTTGGGATGAGCTGATATTCCTGCTCTTTCCCTCACCTTTCTTGGTGGTGGTGAAGTACTTGGAGTCCGTCATGGTGGTCTCCAGCCAGCAGCACGGCCCTGGGAGGAGATAAAGAGCCCAGAGGTTCAGGATTAAGGACTGCCTTGCTGGGATTGTTACAGAAGCTCCACAAAGGAAAAAAAAACAGTGGAGAGAAAAAAAAAATGTTTGGGATCTGGTGGAGGTCCCAAGGAAAAGCCAAATCCTTAAGGGASTGTGAGCACCTCGCAGCTCTGCAATGATGGGCAATCCCTGGTTCTCCAAAGAGGATGAGGAGGAGGAAGGGAATTGCTGAAGATTGCAGGGCTGCAGCCCTGACTTTGCTCATCCCATCCCGCATGGAGCCGGCAGCAGGGGTTCAGTGATAACTCCTGTATTCGCCCCTCCTCATCCAAAAAATGCTTTCTTTGGGAAAATAACCACCCCCAATCCTCCCTCACACCTACACAGGGAACAGCTCCGGGCTGGGAAGAGGAACTGAGCCAAACCCCAGGCTCAGCATCCTGGGACAGCGCAGCCCAGGGGCACCGAGCCGCCAGATCAAAGGGAGCCTCTTCCAAAAACCATCCCCATGCCAGCAGGGTCGCTTTAAATTCCAAGGGTGCGAGGTTTCCGCCCAGCACTTGAGGCTCTGTTATATAATTCAGGCAGTTTTGGGCAGATTCAGGGCTTGGCAGGCTGAGGAAGGAGATGTGCAGCCCTTCGCAAAGGTCAGGGGGGATTTGGTTTTTACGGCTGGTTTTCCCATCTTTCCTTCAACAGGAAAGGAACCAGAGGCTTGTCCTTGAAAGCCTGCAGTGGCCTTGCTGCTTTRGAGGGGCAGGAGCACGAGAAGCAAAGCCAAGTGGAAAAAAAAAAAAAGAGATTAAAAAAAAAGCTTGCAGATGGGTTTAAAATGCAAATGAGCATCTTGAAAGCCAAATGCAGCAGGGGCACAGAGGAACGGTGTCCTCTGTTCCCCGTCCAAGCTGGAGAGGGATCCCCAACAGAGATGAAAAGGAAATCTGGATGAAATCTGGGGGCTGAGCAGGCTGGGCAGAGCACACAGCTTGGCAGGGAGTGCAAGGGAAGGAGTTTGCGTGGGTTTGGGGCTGCTCTGGGGGCTGGCAGCACGATCCCGGGGCTGTTCCAGAGGGGGAAGCCTGTGCCACGCTCCCACAGCCCTGCCCCTCGTGAGGCAGCACGCTCCTCCCTGCCTCAGTTACCTGCGATTGATTCAGAGCCTTTTTTATCCCGCTAAGTCGATGGCTCTCCAGGGAACAGCGGGAGCTCCGGGCTGCGCTGCAGCTCTCTGCACCTCACTGCAGATCCCGTCCTGCCACACRGGGAGCGAGGAAGGCAGCAATGAAGGAGGATTCACTGCAGGACCTGGCTCACACTCAGCCCTGCTCTGCAGAAGTGCCTGGAAAGCAAACTGGAAGCCGAGCAGGGAATTTCTGCGGGCAGCTCGGAGCCGTGAACCACGGCAGCTCCCCACCTTCCYGGGGAAAGCACAGCCTGCGGTTTTCCCATCCACAACCCCACCAAGGGGTGGTTCAGCCACACAAAACCCCACTGATTTCRGAAGCTCAAACAATCACTCATCTCCCCCACTCCTTCCTTCAAGCCCTGCAGCAACTCCAAGAAGAAAAGCAGCTCCTCCAGCTCGGCAATGAGGCGCACCCCTGGCTCCCCACATAACCTTCCCAGCACAGAGCASCCCAGGGCCCGGAGCAGGGATCCAAACACCTGCCAAAGCCCAGTGCTCTGCACCTGCACCCTCTGTGTCCCCCAGGCTATGCCAGGGTGACAAGACAGGGCTGGGACACGATCGCTGCAGGTGAATTCCCACAGCTCAGCTGTTGGGTGGGGGCCAATGCTGCTGCCTGGGGATACAACCAAAGTTGTGCTGCAGAGCTGGGGGCTGACACCAGATGTTGGCTCCCCACCCAGCTCCTTTCCATGCTGATTTCCCAAGGAGGGGCTGAGTGGAGCAGCTCCTCRCTCACAAAAAGCAGGATGCTGAAACAAAGGAAATCCACCAGCCCTGACCTTTTGGTGGCTCAGATTTTACCCGGTCTTTATTCTAAATTTGTTTTAAGCTGCTCTGGCAAACGGGATTCAAGGAGTTAAAAGTGTCCATAAGGATCTGGAAGCAAAGCAGTGGCTGGGTGATGGAGGGGAGCACACAGAGCTCACCCACACCCATTTTGGGCTCCTCGGGTCAGGTTTTGGGGCAGGTTTTGGCAGTGGCACAAACCCAAAGCTTGTTATCCCTGATTTTATTCACCCTGGATGAGTAAATTCCACAGCTCCACATGAGCCACAGCAATTCTGCTCTCCTCAGCTCCTGGGTCAGGGACGTGGCAGAGCTCAGCCATCCCATTTTTCTGGCTACCACACCAGCAGCTCCCAAATTCAGCTATTTTGGGGAAATAGGAGGTTCCTAAACCCAAAACACAGCCACAAACACATCACTATCCTTCCCACCGAGGTGGGTTCCAGTGGGTTCCTGGGAATGGCAGCAATGCCAAAGAGCCATCGCTGGTGCTGCTCACTTCCTCTTTTGGAGAGTGGAGGAAAAAAATCCCTTTTTCTGCTACTTTTATCACCCTTTCATTTAGGGCAATTCCTCCGTCCCTGAAGGCTGAGATACTGGTGAGCAGAGTCTTTATAGAACCATGGGGTGGTCTGGATGGGAAGGGATCTTAAAGTTTATYCAGTGCCACCCCCTGCCATGGCAGGGACACCTCCCACTGTCCCAGGCTGCTCCCAGCCCCAATGTCCAGCCTGGCCTTGGACACTGCCAGAGATCCAGGGGCAGCCACAGCTTCTCTGGGCACCCTGTGCCAGGGCCTGCCCACCCTCCCAGGGAACAATTCCTTCCCAATATCCCATCCATCCCTGCCCTCTGGCACTGGGAAGCCATTCCCTGTGTCCTGTCCCTCCATCCCTTGTCCCCAGTCCCTCTCCAGCTCTCCTGGAGCCCCTTTAGGCCCCAAAAGGGGCTCTGAGCTCTCCCTGGATCCTTCTCCTCTCCAGGTGAGCACCCCCAGCTCTCCCAGCCTGGCTCCAGAGCAGAGGGGCTCCAGCCCTGGAGCAGCTCCGTGGCCTCCTCTGGATTCACTTTCAGCTCCCTGCAACACAGACCCACTGCCAGGATGCAGCCTTTACCCCTGCCCAAGATATCCCAAATCCCCCGTTATCCCAACCCAGCCCAGCCCAGGAGTTCAGTGGCTGCCAGAAAGTTCTGGTCTCCCCAGCCTGACCCATGTCTCGGAAGGAAGGAGGAGCAAAAGCAGGAGGTTCATCCTTGCTCACACATTCCTGCTGTTCAGGGAGGACAGGCTGGCACCTGAAGCCAGGAAGAGGAGAAAGGAGCAGGATCTTGAAGGGCAAACTCCCAGGAAAGGGCTCACCTGGGAACCAGAGGGGCAGCAGGAGGTGAACGGCAACAGGAAACTGCCACAGGCAAACCCCGCAGCTGGAAATGAGGCACTGCAGGGCCAAGGTGGCACAATCAAGGGAATTAAAGAAGGCTCTAAAAAATTAATGGGTAACTGGAGCCACAGGGAATCCCATAACTGCTCTGTGCTGGTGTGAGGCAGCTCAGGGCAGTGCAGGAGATAGGCAGGGGGGAGGTGGTGATGGCTCYCCACAGCTCCAAGCACATCCCTGGCCTAGGGACAAAGCCCTGGAGCTGCCACAAACACAGCGAGGGGAGAGGAACACCCAGGAGGGGAAGAAGARAAGCAGAGGCTGAGGATACAAACCCTGACAGCCAAAGAGCCTTGTGCTGATCCCAGTTCTTCTTCCCCTCTTTACTCACAGCAGCGTTTCCCAGCGATCCCATCCTGCAGCTCCCATCCCTGTGCTCATGCCACCCCTGCCAGGCTCCACAGACTCCCAGGGGCTCTCCCCAGCCCCACACACGTTCCCAATAAGATATTTTTCCTAAGCCTGGCCTAACGGAAGCCAGTCTTTGCTCCAACTCAGCCCCCACAGCAGAGTGGGGCTGTGATTCCGCTGCATCCTGAGCAGGACCAGCCCATCCATGTCCTCTCACAAACCTGTTCCTGACCAGCCCACGGGCCCTCCAAAGGCCTCCATCTCCATCAAAAAAGGGACTCCTTGGATAACTATGGGGTAGGAGCCCTTCCAAACTCACTGTGCCCTCAGCAAGCTGCTCAAAATCATGGCAGGTCTGCAAGCAGTGGCACCAGCAAAATAAACTGCAACCAATCCCATCAACCAACAACTGGGGAATAAACTCAAGGAAAATGGAAAACACACACAGCCAGGATCCTACTGCCAGAGCCTAAAGCTCTGAGAGCTGGGGGTGTTTTAATCACCTTGAAAAGGTTTGGCTCCCCCCAAACCCCGGCTGAGCGTCCTCAGGGACACCTAGGACCTTGTTGTGGGCACAGCATCAGGGTCCCGCAGCTTTTCCTTCCAGGAAAGCTGAGTTCTGCAGGGCTGGACACCTCCTGCCATGGAATTCCCAGCCTGGCTTGATCCAAGCAAGGCCCAACACCTCTGGAAAGTCCCTTGGGGTCCCAAAGCCTGTTCAGCCCGGTAGCCTGAGCCCGTGGCTCCCACAAACCAGACTGATCCAACTGCTCACCTGACACTGATCCCATTTTCTGTCACCCCAGGATTCAGCGAACACAAACCCTGACCTGCCCCCCACTGCTGCTGGGACCCCTGACAGGTGGTAAAACTCTGGGAAACTCCACACAAAACACCTGCAAGAACAACACCACCACCTCCAACACGGCTCCTTCAGGCTGCAGCCATCTCCCAGCTCCTTCTTATCCAGTCTGGGGCTTTCCCCGCTAAAATCTCCACAGAGGAGGGAGCGAGCACAAGATATCAGCCCAGCTGCCTCTCTATCTGTTCCATTCCCATCKCCCAGCTTATTCCAGAGCCAAGCACCGACCTTTCCCATGGATAAGCCATGCCCTGAGGTGGGTGAAGGGGTCCTGCCCCTGGGGCGGTGCCCGTCGGGGCTCTGGCTGTGGCCAGGACGCGATGCCCCGGGGTGCTGAGGTGGGGAGCAGACCCCGGGGCAATCCCTCCGGGATGGAGCCGTGGGGACAGCACTGGGCCATGGAGCTGCGGGAYGGGGGGACCCAGCCAGGGGGTGGGAGGGCGACACGGCCCGGACCGAGGAGGAGAGGATGGGGACACAACAGGGACACAGCGCGGGGACACAGCCCGGGGCAGGAGGACACAACCCGGGGTCAGAACGGGGACACGGCCGGTCCCGGAGGGGCACAGGGGAGACACAGCTCGGCTCGGGGGACGGAAGGGGCCCAGCCCCAGAAGGACGCGGCGCGGCCCGAACCCGGCGGGGCCCGTCCCGGGTGCGCACGGTGGAGCTCCGGGAGGGCGCCTGGAGCAGGAACAGCCGCGGGTCCCGGCTCAGCCCCCGGCCCAGCTCGGCCCGGTCCGCCCCTGCCCGGCCCGGTCCGTACCTGCCGCCGCCGCCGCCGCCACCGGAACTGAGGAGCGCAGAGCGCTTCCGGGGCGGGGCGGGGCCTCGGACAGTGGGCGGGGCCATGGCGGGAGGGGCGGGGCCACGGCGGGAGGG